ATGTGATTGTACTGGCAGTCTAACCGTCATGTGATTGGACAGGCAGTCTAACCGTCATGTGATTGGACAGGCAGTCTAACCATCATGTGCTTGGACAGGCAGTCTAACCGTCATGTGATTGTACAGGTAGTCTAACTGTCATGTGATTGGACAGGCAGTCTAACCATCATGTGATTGTACTGGCAGTCTAACCATCATGTGCTTGGACAGGCAGTCTAACCGTCATGTGCTTGGACAGGCAGTCTAACCGTCATGTGCTTGGACAGGCAGTCTAACCGTCATGTGCTTGGACAGGCAGTCTAACCATCATGTGATTGGACAGGCAGTCTAACCATCATGTGATTGGACAGGCAGTCTAACCATCATGTGATTGGACAGGCAGTCTAACCATCATGTGATTGGACAGGCAGTCTAACCATCATGTGATTGGACAGGCAGTCTAACCGTCATGTGCTTGGACAGGCAGTCTAACCTTCATGTGATTGTACTGGCAGTCTTACCATCATGTGATTGGACAGGCAGTCTAACCGTCATGTGCTTGGACAGGCAGTCTAACCATCATGTGATTGTACTGGCAGTCTAACCATCATGTGATTGGACAGGCAGTCTAACCGTCATGTGATTGTACAGGCAGTCTAACTGTCATGTGATTGGACAAGCAGTCTAACCATCATGTGATTGGATAGGCAGTCTAACTATCATGTAATTGGACAGGCAGTCTAACCATCATGTGATTGGACAGTCAGTCTAACCATCATGTGATTGGACAGGTAGTCTAACCATCCTGTGATTGTACAGGCAGTCTAACCATCATGTGATTGGACAGGCGGTCTAACCATCATGTGATTGGACAGGCGGTCTAACCATCATGTTAATGGACAGGCAGTCTAACCATCATGTGATTGGACAGGCAGTCTAACCATCATGTTAATGGACAGGCAGTCTAACCGTCATGTGATTGGACAGGCGGTCTAACCATCATGTGATTGGACAAGCAGTCTAACCATCATGTGATTGGATAGGCAGTCTAACTATCATGTAATTGGACAGGCAGTCTAACCATCATGTGATTGTACTGGCAGTCTAACCATCATGTGATTGGACAGTCAGTCTAACCATCATGTGATTGGACAGTCAGTCTAACCATCATGTGATTGGACAGTCAGTCTAACCATCCTGTGATTGTACAGGCAGTCTAACCATCATGTGATTGTACTGGCAGTCTAACCATCATGTGATTGGACAGGCGGTCTAACCATCATGTTAATGGACAGGCAGTCTAACCGTCATGTGATTGGACAGGCGGTCTAACCGTCATGTGATTGGACAGGCGGTCTAACCATCATGTGATTGTACTGGCAGTCTAACTGTCATGTGATTGGACAGGCAGTCTAACCGTCATGTGCTTGAACAGGCAGTCTAACCGTCATGTGCTTGGACAGGCAGTCCAACCGTCATGTGATTGTACAGGCAGTCTAACCGTCATGTGATTGTACAGGCAGTCTAACTGTCATGTGATTGGACAGGCAGTCTAACCGTCATGTGCTTGGACAGGCAGTCTAACCGTCATGTGCTTGGACAGGCAGTCTAACCGTCATGTGCTTGGACAGGGAGTCTAACCATCATGTGATTGGACAGGCAGTCTAACCATCATGTGATTGGACAGGCAGTCTAACCATCATGTGATTGGACAGGCAGTCTAACCATCATGTAATTGGACAGGCAGTCTAACCGTCATGTGCTTGGACAGGCAGTCTAACCATCATGTGATTGTACTGGCAGTCTTACCATCATGTGATTGGACAGGCAGTCTAACCGTCATGTGCTTGGACAGGCAGTCTAACCATCATGTGATTGTACTGGCAGTCTAACCATCATGTGATTGGACAGGCAGTCTAACCGTCATGTGATTGTACAGGCAGTCTAACCGTCATGTGATTGTACAGGCAGTCTAACTGTCATGTGATTGGACAAGCAGTCTAACCATCATGTGATTGGATAGACAGTCTAACTATCATGTAATTGAACAGGCAGTCTAACCATCATGTGATTGGACAGTCAGTCTAACCATCATGTGATTGGACAGGTAGTCTAACCATCCTGTGATTGTACAGGTAGTCTAACCATCATGTGATTGTACAGGCAGTCTAACCATCATGTGATTGTACTGGCAGTCTAACCATCATGTGATTGGACAGGCGGTCTAACCATCATGTGATTGGACAAGCAGTCTAACCATCATGTGATTGTACTGGCAGTCTAACCATCATGTGATTGGACAGTCAGTCTAACCATCATGTGATTGGACAGGCAGTCTAACCATCATGTGATTGGACAGGCAGTCTAACCATCATGTGATTGGACAGGCAGTCTAACCATCATGTGATTGGACAGGCAGTCTAACCATCATGTGATTGGACAGGCAGTCTAACCGTCATGTGCTTGGACAGGCAGTCTAACCATCATGTGATTGTACTGGCAGTCTTACCATCATGTGATTGGACAGGCAGTCTAACCATCATGTGATTGGACAGGTAGTCTAACCATCCTGTGATTGTACAGGCAGTCCAACCATCATGTGATTGTACTGGCAGTCTAACCATCATGTGATTGGACAGGCGGTCTAACCATCATGTTAATGGACAGACAGTCTAACCATCATGTGATTGAACAGGCAGTCTAACCATCATGTGATTGGACAGGCAGTCTAACCATCATGTGCTTGGACAGGCAGTCTAACCATCATGTGATTGGATAGGCAGTCTAACTGTCATGTGATTGGACAGGCAGTCTAACCATCATGTTAATGGACAGGCAGTCTAACCATCATGTGATTGGACAGGCAGTCTAACCATCATGTGATTGGACAGGCAGTCTAACCATCATGTTAATGGACAGGCAGTCTAACCGTCATGTGATTGGACAGGCGGTCTAACCATCATGTGATTGGATAGGCAGTCTAACTGTCATGTGATTGGACAGGCAGTCTAACCATCATGTTAATGGACAGGCAGTCTAACCATCATGTTAATGGACAGGCAGTCTAACCATCATGTTAATGGACAGGCAGTCTTACCATCATGTGATTGTACTGGCAGTGTAACCATCATGTGATTGGACAGGCGGTCTAACTGTCATGTGATTGGACAGGCGGTCTAACCGTCATGTGATTGGACAGGCGGTCTAACCGTCATGTGATTGGACAGGCGGTCTAACCGTCATGTGATTGGACAGGCGTTCTAACCATCATGTGATTGGACAGGCAGTCTAACCATCATGTGATTGGACAGGCAGTCTAACCGTCATGTGCTTGGACAGGCAGTCTAACCATCATGTGATTGTACTGGCAGTCTTACCATCATGTGATTGGACAGGCAGTCTAACCATCATGTGATTGGACAGGTAGTCTAACCATCCTGTGATTGTACAGGCAGTCCAACCATCATGTGATTGTACTGGCAGTCTAACCATCATGTGATTGGACAGGCGGTCTAACCATCATGTTAATGGACAGGCAGTCTAACCATCATGTGATTGGACAGGCAGTCTAACCATCATGTGATTGGACAGGCAGTCTAACCATCATGTTAATGGACAGGCGGTCTAACCGTCATGTGATTGGACAGGCGGTCTAACCATCATGTGATTGGATAGGCAGTCTAACTGTCATGTGATTGGACAGGCAGTCTAACCATCATGTTAATGGACAGGCAGTCTAACCATCATGTGATTGGACAGGCAGTCTAACCATCATGTGATTGGACAGGCAGTCTAACCATCATGTTAATGGACAGGCAGTCTAACCGTCATGTGATTGGACAGGCGGTCTAACCATCATGTGATTGGATAGGCAGTCTAACTGTCATGTGATTGGACAGGCAGTCTAACCATCATGTTAATGGACAGGCAGTCTAACCATCATGTTAATGGACAGGCAGTCTTACCATCATGTGATTGTACTGGCAGTGTAACCATCATGTGATTGGACAGGCGGTCTAACTGTCATGTGATTGGACAGGCGGTCTAACCGTCATGTGATTGGACAGGCGGTCTAACCGTCATGTGATTGGACAGGCGGTCTAACCGTCATGTGATTGGACAGGCGTTCTAACCATCATGTGATTGGACAGGCAGTCTAACCATCATGTGATTGGACAGGCAGTCTAACCATCATGTGATTGGATAGGCAGTCTAACCGTCAAGTGATTGGACAGGCAGTCTAACCGTCAAGTGATTGGACAGGCAGTCTAACCATCATGTGTTTGGACAGGCAGTCTAACCATCTGCAGTTATTAGATCAGAAGGTGTTGATCAATGACTGGATTTGACTTTGTGCCCAAATAGAACTAAACCAGCAATCTGTCAATTACCCCATTCATTAGTATTTCCCATTCATTTCTGCAGTATTTACTATTATTAATCCAAGGCTTGTCAGTATACAAATTTAGTTTTGATTATATTTTGAGTGCATTGCTTGCTGGCCTTAGGCTACTTTGATTGTGATACGAGTTTGTAATCAAGCGTAATGGTGCAGACATGATGTAATATGAACTGCTACTGAAATTGAGCATTCATGTGTAATATACAGTTCAATCATTACTGTGCAGTAGTAGATTACTATTAATAATAGCTATTTTAATGGGTAGCATCTCAACATATCTGTATAGAATATCACATGGCACCCTATTATATGATGATGTCACATAATGACCAAATATGGACATTTGTATAAATATTTGAACCAAAATATTGCTTCAGAAACATAAAAATGTTTGGCCTCTAGAGGGCAGCACATTGTCCTATGCTTGAAATTCACAGAGGTCATTGAGGAGATTACAGAGATGCCTTGCATGCATGTCTTGATACCTTTGAACATAGTGAACAATTTTAATCAGTCTACAAGTGTTTAACCATACTGTACCCTTGATGGTATTGTTATGTAATAAAGCTATTATTATTAAATCTAATACTGGCTATAATGTCTCTGAATGTAGGCCGAAATCTGGAGTATGTTTATTGCAATTATCAGGAAGAGTGTACGTAATCTACAAGCATGTACTGAAGTAGGACTTATAGAGTATACATTAAAACGACTGAAAGATGATCATGATATTATTTCAGGTAATGTAATTGATTGAATATCAATATATCTGTAACATTTGGAGACTTCCATAGCATACAAACATATTAGTCATATGATGTCTTGGTGGGGGGGGGGTGTCTTCTGATATTATATCATTTTGCTTTATAGTTGTTCAGATCCAATTTGTTTTTAAATTTGACTAGATTTAAGATGAAGAACTACACAACCAATCTCAGTTGTTAATTCGGCCGATGTTGCCTTGATCCATATACATCATTTCACCATTCTCCTTCGCAGAGACTATGGGTCTTTTATCACTAAGCTAGGTAGTTGCCAGGGAACACCCCACTAGTTGCGGCTCTCTGTGGCTCCCTAGGTCACAAAGACTCTGCAAGGGAGAGTGCATTTTGACATCATAAGTGTTCTGACACTAGAGGGCTCAACTTACAGGAATAGCAAATAGCATATGAAAAACTGAATGTGAATATTCAAGTTGACAATATATTTTGAATTTGTCAAAATTTACATATTAAGAAAAACAGTTTTTCACCGAGTATTCTAATTTACACAGATTTTCATGTGTTCAGTGACAATGATGGGCTATATATTATCATAATACCCTTTTCCTAATTCAATTGATTTCTGCACTCAATAAGGTCTGATCTTTTTTTTTATCTGCCCATATTGCCCTATAGAGGGTGCTGTGTTTGTATAATGCTCACTGACATGTGACCTACTTCCAGATTACTTCAATGCCAACAAAATATATATTGAATATTAATCTTTTTTTTTCTTTGTCCAGATTTGTTGATTGATATGCTGGGTGTGTTGGCTAGTTACAGTATCACAGTAAAAGAACTCAAGTTGTTTTTTAGCTGTCTTAAAGGAGATCAAGGAAAATGGGTAAGACAGGTAGCAGAATTAGTCCCAGAAAAACAAGTGCACACATTTAGTTTTCTTGTGAATGAAAAAAGGTTTTGTATTAAAAATGTAAAAAGTCATGCACATTTTAAGTTTATAATACTAACATGGCCTAAATATGAGGCTATATTCATGGAATAAAAAATAAACTGTGTAAAGAATCTGTTGAAAAATAATGATATATTTATTGTCAAGTAAAAAGAGATATTTATCCATCTGCTTTTATTCAGTATGGGTCCATACCCTAACCCTAACCTACATCGTATACAACTGTGGTTAAAATGTGTGTTGTTTAGTTACTCATTATATTCTTGTCAGAAATCCTGGTTTTATAATCTGAATACTGTGAAGTGAAATAATACATATTGACTGGGTATCTTTCTTTTCACAGCCAAGACATGCTTCTAAGCTGCTGCTAATATTACGTCAAATGCCTCTTAGACGTGGTTCAGATGCATTCTTTAGTTTTCCAGGCAAAAATGGTGCAGTAAGTCAATCTGATGTTATTTTAATTAATATGTGTACTTAGATCATGTACAAATACAAAACAAAAATAAATCTGGAAGTCATTGAGACTTTCATCTGGAATTTTTGAAATGTTCGAAACCATAGACTGTTTTCACGGAAGATGGTATTGCACAGTGAAAGTTGACAGATGAAAAGTGTAAACGGAGTACCTGCCACAAATAGAATCATACTTGTTTTATTGTTAACTACCTGGTTCAATTTGTGTAATATAACGATTGTTTGTCATTCTGTTCTTATAGGCTGTTGCCCTTCCCCCTGTGGCCAAGTGGCCTTATCAGAGTGGTTTTACTTTCTCAACTTGGTTCCGATTGGATCCAATCAACAGTATCAACATAGATAGGGTGAAGCCTTATCTATACTGGTAAGTATGTGTTGTAATATCTGAGAGAGTAGAATATATCACCTTTTGGATGCCTCCACAGGCAGTGACAATGTGTTCATGCACTTTTATATGTTTGTAACACTTATGACATACAATATATGCCATGTTCAGTTTATGTGTGCTTCTAATAACACAAATACGGTACCCAAGTCAATCTATCTTATTCACATTTTAAGCTAATCTGGTAAAAAAAAATGCACAAGTCTCATTAGTTACAATGCAGATGGGAGATATGGTTTCAAGATCATTGACGTTTGAAGCAATGTTTTGGCATTCAAAATCAATACTTTCTAAGAAACCACTCAGTTGTCATGGTTACTTATAAGTTATCGCCTGGATTGATGAATTGTATACGCAAGTGATTGACAAATTGAATGGTTGCTAAATTGGTATCAACTGAGGGCTGTCATCAAACCAATTGATGGATCATGTCATTATTCAATGAATATAGATTTACAAATAAGATCACTTAGTGGTATTTTGATGACCTAATGTGATTTGATTGCTTGGGGTTATATGCATCAAAAATACATTGTCACCACTTACGTCTCCTTGGGTCTTCAAATTGTGATTTGATTTATGACTTAAAATTGCGTATTATGTTTTAATGAGTGATTGAGTGTGCAAAGTTTCCTGCTGGCCCACCACCGCACACATACACACATATCGCAGTACCAATTAGTTGAATCAGCTTTGTTTTTGGGACTTTCAACATCTGTGATTCTGCTGTACTTCACTCAATAGCCCTACTAATTTTTACATTGTCATCTGCAAGGAGTTTAATTATAGTAGAATGTAACATTCAAGAAATGTATTGTCTACATATTTAAATTAATTCTGTCTTTCTACTTACAGCTTTCGTACAGGGAAAGGAGTTGGCTACTCTGCCCATTTCATGGGTTCATGTTTGGTTGTCACGGCAATGAAAAGTAAAAATAAAGGATTTCAGCATTGTATCAAATATGATTTCCAGCCTCGTAAAGTAAGTATAGCTGTCAAGATGTTTCCAAGTTGACCTCTGACCTTTGGTGGCCATGATGTACACGTACAAAATACTTAAACAATCAATGATTCCAGTGACAAATTTGTGATGCCAGTATTCTTCCTGATTTTTCTGTTCTAGTTTGTTACAGACATATTATAAAACTTATGTTCCCAAAATACATTAGGAGATGGGCGGGCTTCCGTTAATATCAGTCACATAAAGCATTCTTTATTATTACTGACAAAAAGTGAGAATTTTTTTAGAAAAACAAATATTTGTCAGCCAGTGCCAGAATATATGACTCCCATGCAGTTAACTATTTTTATTTTTAGAAGTTTTTGCACTTACAACAATTTTAGCAGGATTAATTCAGTGTGAATTAGGTATACTTTCCACCAAAACAATGTGTTTGCTTACATGCACCTCTTTATTGGGAATGCACTTTTAATAGATTAAATATGGTATGTTATTTTTCTGATCTTATAACTAAATTACTGGTGTTAATAAACAACTAAAATGTATTTTATTCCTTTCAGTGGTATATGGTAACCATAGTACATATATACAGCCGCTGGAGGAATAGTGAGATCAGATGTTATGTTAATGGTAAACTTGTATCATACGCAGATATGGCGTGGTTTGTAAATACCAGTGATGTGAGTGAAATACCACCACCATAATTCAATTTAGTATCACCTGCTGAAATTCTCTACAGACTACTAAAACCAATGGGAAAAAAGCATGTCATGATCCTCTTCAAAACCCCTAACAATTTTTGTTAGGGACACTCAAATGAGGTTTGAACCTGGATTAACCCTAAATTGCCAGAATAAAACCCAATCAGACTGTTTTGAGGTCTAGACCATAGACAGTGCATCCCAGGACGACTGCATGAATTTGCATAAAACATTCCACACCTTCCAAATCTCACAAATCACAAATGCAGTGTACGTCATGAAGATCTTTCCTGATTTGCTGCACATTGGTTATTTACAGTTTTTACTACTCAATTGACAATGACACAAATTATCATAACGGAAAACAAATGAATTGGAGTTGTACTAGAAGAAAAACTACTTGCAAAAGTTTTTTTCATTACCAACACTTTAAAATATAACACTCAGTATGAACATGGAGCTCCATGGTATGCATCTTTTTTTTTCATGCTGAAAGCTTTTTTGAATCTTCCTCCATGAAACTGTATTGTAAGAAAACCCAGGTTCCCCTACTCTAAAACTGGGTTTCCCTGTTCTTTCTTTTTTTTTGTTTGTTGTTTGTTTTCAGTGGGGGTGTTAATGTGTTGTTTACCAGGAAGTGAGGTTCAGACCTACTATTAAATTGCATATTGTTGGTCAATTAGTTTAGACTATGGCTGGAGAAGGCAGGCCGGGTTAACTCAGGTTTAACCTCAGACTAGTAATACAACAGACTCGCAACGCCTATTGTTTAAGGTGTTAATCGGCTTAATTGTATATGCTATGTGTGCCACGCTCTGTAGCATTGGCATAGACACCGTCAAAGTTTACCGAACACTGGATATTCTGCACACTTTGCGCTTCTTCGGAAATTGTGTATTTCTTCGTAAAACGGATCCGGATATTTTTTAAAAACGGGAGATGCGTTCTGGACATTTTGACTTTTGCAGCT